AGAGAGAGAGAGAGAGAGAGAGAGAGAGAGAGAGAGAGAGAGAGAGAGAGAGAGAGAGAGCAGGTATGTGTGTATATATACGAGCGCGCATCTATCGATGTGTGAATGCATGCGGGCGAGAGAAGCGCGTTGCACACGAGCGCCGAGGGGATTTCTTCTCTTTCTCATTCCTATTCTCTCTCTTTCTCTCTCCCCCTCCCTTTTCCTTTCTCTTTCTCTCTTTCTTTCACCGCATGCGTACGTGTGCAAAGGCTCAATTCGTACGCGAGCGAAGCTTTAACCATCTCGAATCGAAGACGCCTTCGGACCTGGAATCACGCGAGATGCGTAAAAATGATCCCCCATGGTTGTATGGCGAGAGGACACCGTTTGAGATCGCGGCGAGGATGCTCATAAGCGGACAAACGAGGGAGAAATTTTGTGCGAAACATGCAGAATATTGTTTCTACGAATAATGTGATGGAAACGTTATTACAATACATAATGTGTTCCCGAAGAGCACACTGTACGATTATGATGTATCGAGATATTAAAAATGATATTGATTATGTAAATTAAAGCCGAAAAGAAATTCTTTTGCAAAGAATTTCACGATTTTAATGAATCTGTTTCAACTTGTTTATTATAATCTTGTAATATTATATGGAAAGATTGTATTGAGTTTGCATCGCGTATTTGTTTAAACATAATAATGAACACAGAATTTATACACTGTAAGTAATAATTTGTAATCATAATAATCCATTAGCAGTTGGTTCATATTTAAATACAGCACTTATTATGTTTAAACATAGCAAATTATTTTTATGGAGAACGCAAATGCTATTACGTATATAATGATTGATGTATGCGCTAATGAATTGAGTATGCAGCTAAGCATCATGTTTCGCTTTATAGTGAGAGCTATTTGAAATTATTTCTGGACAGAAAATTACTCTCTCTCTATAGTCTCTATCTTGATATAATTAAATCTAATCTATTGACTATCTCGTAAACAACTATTCGTAAAATGTTGTCATGAGAATACAATGTGATTATAATATTTTTTTCTTTAAAACTTAGCATTCCTAAACGGTCACGAGATAACATGAAATTTATTACTGATACAAACTAAAAGAATGTGTGATAAAAAATTCACGTTTTATTTTTGATATCTCTATAAATTCCTAAAGTTTTTTTTAATTTATGTGTAAATAATACTTTACACTTAAAAAAAATCTTCACTTAAAAATTTATAAGAATTGAAATATAAGAGCTTGTTAATACAATTCTTCTGCAACAAAAATACACAAAAGTTTCATAAATGGTACGCGAAAATAAAATGTAATGAATAGATAGATTTTTTTTATTCAATATTAAACAAAACGACTTGTAACGCTATCTGACGGTAGATCCGTCATGTATTTCTTTCATTTTTGTTCTCAGCAGTAGCAGATAATTAAGAGACCTGTGTCGGTATTTGGCTCAATTGATAAGCTATATAAATTAACTTAATTAATATCGTTGTTTCAATTATTTGTTTAATTAATTGAGTACATACTATTAATATATAAAAATTTTATTTCTATAAAAAGTCTTTCTTAATTTATAATTTATAAAAGAAATTCTTGATTTAATTTGTACATATTCGTATATGATTATTCCTTAAACAATTAATTACTATTGAGTAATAAATACAAATTAATAAACATTTCGCTATTATTAGCATCTCAGATTGATTGTGTTTTTAATGTCCGAACGTTTCGACGTACAGTCACATTTGTGATTAATTAATTTCATGAACTTAGAATATTATATTATTCGTAACTTTCAACTTTGACCGATCCATAGGCGCTCTCTATTATATTATGTTGTTACATTAACAACATAATATATGTTGTTAACATATATTATGTTAACTCGGTCGGTTCCTTAATAAATTAATAAATTAATAAAAATGTTTAAATAAACTATTCAAATATATATTCTTTATTTATATATATATATATATATATATAAAAATTATAGTTCTCGACAAGTCGTTTTATTATTATTGAATCAAATTCTACATCGATTCTATGTTGAAAAAAATGTATTCTTAAAAATACGATATGTATGTTTAAGTAACATATCGTATTTTTAAGTAATATAATAAATAAAAGAATATTATTGTATAAATCATATAAAAGCAAAGACTTATTACCATTCAATAGTCTAGGAATGAATGCATTACTTGTTTATTATTATTGTTACCATTATTTTTTTATAACAGTTATTTATAACAATGATTTGATTACAAATATTACGACGTTACAAATTAATACAAATATTTACCTTTTTATTGCCGTTGGTACTATAAATATCTAATTGTAAGTTAATCTGTTTTGCTGGTGTTTATAATACGTTTTATATATTTATTATCTATGTTACATAGTAAAAGATACTAAATATTGTTTATGCTTTATATTTTGAAAAAGTTCTAAATTTAACTGCCAGCTGAAAATTTATATCTTATGTTACATGTATTGTACATGTATTGTACATACTATAAGATTTTGCGCTAATAGTGAATTTTGAAATAAGACTTTGTTACTTATGTTGCGATCATGGCCGAGAGCGAGTTGTGTGGCTGTTTTCTATGCCAAAGAAGGATTTAAATTTACCAAGAAATCAGTGTTAAAAACTGTAGATATATTTTGTAATATATGTCAGTGGATATATACAAAAAAAGTCACTACATCTCTGATAAAAGAGATGACGAATTTGAGAGAGAGTGAGTGAGTGTGTGAGAGAGAGAGAGAGAGAGAGAGAGAGAGAGAGAAAATGAGTTGTTTTTAATGTTTATATTAAATAAAGAAATTAAATAAAGAAATAAAAATTGATTAAAACGTCAATTTTATTGTAAATCAAAATTTGATATTTTAACAACTTGTACTATGTTCTGTAAAGAGTAAGTACTGACAAAAAGTATATTTATTAGCATGTTATTAGCACGAGTTATTATCATCAAGTATTTAGGTTTACATGCATGTTTTGCGCCGTATTTTTTCGTAGTCAAAAGATTAAAACGTATTGCACATATAAGAATATAAGATATTCCGTTGTCCTAAAATTAGAGGATATCAATCATGTTCCTTTTTACAATTTGAGGCGACGTTTTGATTAGTCAAAAAGCAGCCGCTATATTTGAGATGATTGTGCTCCTCGAAAATGGAATATTTTATATTCTTATACCACAATGAGAGAAAAAAAGTTGCTGTTTCAAAAAAATAAAATTAGTTGATTTAACTAAATGCAGCCTTCATGGGCTGTCAAGCAAAATATTTGTTAATTAAAATAAATATTTGTTAATTCAACAAACAAATATATTGACATCACATAACCACATATATAATCACATTACATAATCATATATATTTTACTTAAATATTTAAACTGAATGATCTACGAATTAAATTCTTTAGTTAAATTAACAACTTTTTTTCTCGGTGATGTATATAATAATTAATAATATATTACATTTTAAAAGTAATTTGTTTGATTTATATAAATGTAATAAATTATTAATAAAATCTAGGTTGTTAGTGTTTAGGGTATAGATTGAGCCGGACATTATTCTTCCCAAATTTTATCCACGCAAATATAGGAAAGTAATATGCAGTCCATATTATGAACTGGACATATAAGTTACTGTATGCTCTTATTATTACTCTGATATAAGGCACAACTAAAAAAGACAAAAAACAAATCAACATATGATAGCATATGGATACAATAAAATATTAATAAATATTTGTACAATACTTACGACATAGATAAAATATCCATTCACGATATTTCATAATTAACCAACTTCTCCATCCAACCTTTTTTTCTGGAATATAAATTATTTTTGACAATTGTATGTAATATTAGTGTTGACGAAAATAATAAGTTAAATAAAAAGTATCTAATCTTGTAGACAATAGTTGTTACAACAAACATCAAATCAAATCAAATTGAAAGATTACAATTATTTTAATAACTAATTTGGTTTATAATAAAAAAAAAATAAATGTTGAAAACAACGTACCCACCTTCGATGATCTTAATTTAGAGATTATAATATTGTCAAGATTGATCAAGATGATCGATCTAATATAATATGATCGATCTAATAACGAATAAAACACCTTGTGAACTCAGGGTCAACTTGTTTACATACGTCAAAGCTGGGTCCATTGTTTTCAACAATTATCAAAAAAATATTTTAATTTGATCATTTTATTTAATTTTTAATACTTTTTGATTTAATAAAAATAACACATTACTTATTTTTGCCGGCAATATATTAGAATCGAAATACTTGAAAAGAATAAAGATATATTATTTATAAAAAAAAAACAATAAATAGAAATTATCGAAATAAAAATTTCTAATCAATGCGAAAATTAAATATTTACCTGGGAGTCCATGTAATTTATAAGCGAATGCCATGAAAGAATCTATATCCGAGGTTACATCAACATACCACACTGCATTTAACGTATTTAACACTACTTCATAAAATTCAGGTGAACTGTTACTCAAATAAGTTTTATACAAATCTTTGATTTTATAACATAGTTCAGTAGTTTCTTTTGCGTTTTTGCGACACAAATTCAATCTGTAAATGAAGACAAATAGAATTAATAAAATTACAAGTGTATAATTTTTGTGTACAATCTCTGCCAAATTTATAAATTATTTAAATTATATCAGAGATTGTGTAATAAAATATATCAGACTTAAATGCTAAGTAAAAATCTTGCTTAGTAAAAATCAAAATTAAATATTGTATGCATTACTTATCAGTGATGCCTAACATATAACCATTTACACGCCAGAAATGATTAAATGCTTCTTCTTCTTCCAATGTAATGTTCAGTCCAAAATACTTAGATGAAGTAAAGATGTATCCCAAAAAACCGAACTGTGTAAGCACCATATCTTTTTGATATATTTCTCCAATACCAGCCTTCTTCGACATCTTGGTGCTTATTTTGTGATGCCAACGAATTGAGTTCATCGATTTGTACCATCTAATAGATATTAAAAGTTTAAACATTCGTTCCTTCTTATGTAAAAAGTTTTTATATTTAAATAAAATTTTGATTTAAACTTATTTAAAAGAGTACTTTCAGTACACAATTCTAAATTTCTAAATACAATTCTACATCTAAAAGACCACTAATTATATGGAAAATTGGATTTCGGTAAAATGAGTTTAATTTTCATATAATGTACTCTGCAAACTTAAAATAACTCAAAATGACGGCTTTTAACATTAAAATGACAACAAAATGACAGTTACCAAAATAGCTTATACATATAGTGTGGTGGACGAAAGATGTCATAAATACAAGATTTAATAATGGATTTTCAGCTACGATGTATCAAAAGTGCTGTGTGAGTACAAATTTGATATCTTTGAATCCTTTGATGCACTATAATTGAAAAACTATCCGTTATTAAGTCTTGTATCTATATCAATATCTTTTGTTAACGCATTATAACTTATATTTTATTTAAAAATTAATTCATTTCATATATCAGAACACAATTTACAATTAATTAATAGGGATCCACTGGATTCCGATATTCGGTATCCAATAATTTTATGATCAATTCATAGCCCAATTCGTAGTTTTGTCATTGCAACGGTCGACTTGTGGGACGGCGCGTTGTCTTGATGGAAGAGCACTTTTTTGCGTGCCAATCTCGCTTCAAATGATTACCAAACGTCTACTATGCATCCTTTCTGGCTGAAATTTGGCCTGAAGGGGGTTCGAAGAGTGGATCTTTCGAGATGTCGTGTCATCAAATGGATTGTAGCGCCATTTCATGGAAATTTACCAAACTTATCAAACGACCCATGTACATATACTATATATGTACTAACTATATACTATATTTACAGTCATTTGAATTGCGTGCCGAATTGCTTTTCCGAACTTATATAAATGCAATTAAACTACTATAATAATTATACATCGAATTTTATGCAGATATCATTTGCAGACATGCACAAAATATTCAAATATGCACAATTGCACTAATAAATATACATTTTTAGAATGCTTTTTTAATGTAACAAATTTCTATTTTTATATTACTTTCCAATTTGCTTTTTAAAATATGAAATATTGTTAAAATATGAAGAATTGCAAAAGAATCTGATGTCTAGTAATAATATAAATGACCTTTATCGTTTTACGAAGTAAATTCCCTAAAGACAATACACTTCTGATAAAGTTCATACAACTTGCGGAAACTGAAAAATCATCTTTGGATATTGTTTCAAATCTTATTGTCACATGATTTAAAATATACAGCAATACACAATTCTTGAGTCAGCATTCCATTAACAATTTTGAATCACTCTCCTTGTTCCCGCGATTTTGCTCTTTCGCAGATTTCTTTGTTCTTTAAACTAAAAAAGACGATGATTTTACAAAGCTTATCAGAATTTTCAAAGATATAATAAGACTTAAGACTTACGATATCCAAACTTCATAAATGACTTATTTAGAATTTCCGCAAGCTGTACAAACGTTGTTAGACGTGTATTGTCTCTACGGGGCATAATTTGAAGAATGATAACGGTCATTTGTACATTAAGTAAAGGATAAAGGATTTTTTTATTTCTCATAAAGCATATTTTTCATAATTTACAAATCGCAAAACGTAGATCATAAATATAAATATAAAATGAATCTGCGTTTTGCGAATTTAACAATTTAGATTGGACTGAATTGTCACGTTCACTTTTGCATTACAGTGACTTAATCAATGACAGAACAGCAAAGAATAGCGATAATGAATTTTGTATTTGCTTAATTTATCAGCAGAGAGCTATTTTTTTTATATTGTAAATTTCATACGGAAAATATCAAACATATAGCAAGTTTCTCTAATTTGATTTAAAAAAAAATTTTAACATTTTAAAATATGTTTATCGCAGTTCGATTTTTGCGTTCGCATCACATCATTTTATATCTGCGTTTACAAATAATATTTTGCGGTTTGCGAATTAGAGACAGTTTAATATTCACTAATTTTTATTACTATATTACGAATATATTTATGATTAATTTGTATTTATTTATAGGCATTATCAGATTTTATTAAATTGTTTAAATTATTTTAAAGATATTGAAAATTTAGATATTAAAAACAAATATTATAAAGAAAGAATTATATAAAGAAAAAAAACTATATTTTAAACTGCCTCTACATATATAATTTGCAAATGACAAACACGGACACAGAATGATGTATCATCGCATGCAAGATACACATAGATGCGATCTAACCGTATACAATGAATTGAATTCATAAAGAGCTTGTGAGATATATCTCTATGAATAGATGAACAAATATCCTCACTATTTTTTGCTATTCTGTTATTGAGTCAATTCAGTCGCTACAAGAATTAACATGACGAGTCCAGTTCAATCTAAATCGTTATTCGCAAAACACAGATTTTGTTTTACATTTTTTTATAACTAAAAATAATTTTGTAAAGTAGTGTATTATTATGAATTTTGATAAATATATGCTTATGTAATCAGTATGTTATATAAACAGGAGTCACAGTAGTGCTCGGATGTCAGAGTTGATGCGTAATAAACGTTAGGTCTTACGTAATCAAGAGTTTAAAGATGCAAGTTTTGCAGTATTACTTATTAAAACTAAAAAAAAATTTTTTTAAATTGAATAAAAATAATTTCGAAAATAGTTCTTTTAATTAACAATGAATATATAATTTAGAGGAAAGTTACCGATACTGACATATCACTTTGTTTTTAGATAATATTTCTTAAACAAAAGGTAAAAATAAAATTTTAAAAACATAAATACAAACTAAAAAGTGTCTTCCGTCAGATAGTATAAGCAGTTTTTATAATACTGTTTGCAATTCTGTAATAATTAATTTTTTCTTATAAGATAAGCAAAAATGAATCTGATAAAATGAGCTTTAAAACTGACACAATAGGCAGTAATCTTACATATTCCTATTCTTTTCCTTTTATGGGAATTATAATAAATATAAATAAAGTACCTACAAGTGAATGTATATAAGATATTCCAGAATCTCTCTCTTTTTTCACTTCCCTATAAAACATTTTTATTAAATTATATGCATATTTACTTTATGCTGTTCTATAAGATGCAAATATGTAACGCGATAATTTTTCAAGAATATTTCCATATATGCACAATTGTTTTCAGCTCTAATATAGCTATTTGACACTAATAAAGCAACATTATAAAGATTAAGTTAGCTCATGATCTATTTTACAGACAGGTATGGCGGTTTATACATCCCAATTTTAAATTTAAAATCGTATTATGAAAAAAACTAAGAAAAAATAATATAAATAAAACTGATTTAGGAAATTACAAGCATTTAAAATAACGTAATATTATCAATAATATAGTTATTATTATTTAAATTATGCAATTTGCAAAAGAAAATCATAAGAATTTTATTGATACATTCGTTTTTAGTTGATTTAATATAGAAACAAGCCACAAATACACGAATTATGAGTTTGTACTTCTTTAATTAGCTAAACAGATCATGATTTTAATAATATTAATAAAGTGCAAATAGAGATTTCTGAGAAATAAGAGGGTGTCACCTATTTTTTAGGAAATCTATATCAGCATCAGTGACTTTCCTTTATTATTGTTTATTTTTTTCGTTAAAATATACTTTATAAGTGTATACTTTATAAGTGATTATATTTGAATTGAAAATTGATTTTTTCATAATTTTTTATTCTGTTAAAAAATCCGTGTTATATCTAAAAGTTGCATTATGTATAATTTATATTATAAATAAAAATGCATTTTAGATTGCATTTTAAAAATAAGATCTTGTTATATCTATCAAGTATAATAAAACACAAAGAAATATGAATATGAAAAAAATTGTAAACATTGGAAGAAACTTACTTGGAATCTGAATTATTTACATCACACATAAATAAGTTATGTATAAGTAATATAGTTTCGATGTATCTTTTAAAAGCTGCACAAGTTGAACTACTTCGTTTTGTATACAAAAGCACCTGTTAAAAGACAAAAAATTTAACGATAAATAATATTTTGTTGTTATTTTTTACAATAAATTTTATTTAACATAATAAATTCTTAAAGATAGTACAATATAAAACTATTTTCTATTTTCATGTTGAGATTATGATT